TTTGGGTACGATTGTGTGTGTGTGTGTGTGTGTGTGTGTGTTTTTGTACATAATATAAATTGCCCGAATTATTATCATAATCAATTTGAAATGAAAGAAACTTTTGTATACATTTGCAAAAATATTATCAGATTAAGATCTCATATTATGATCACATCGTTTGTGTGCAGATAAAGCAAATTAAAGAAAAGTCCTTAATCATATTGCAATTTTCAAACAATTATGAGTTATTGATTAATAAAAATCACCAAAAAAGTGCGTATCTGCTCGGACTATTGGTTAATGCAAGCGCACAGCGAGATGCAATTATTCAGCGTTACGTATATTTGGAATTACTAATTCGCGACGAGATTATAAAAACAGAAAACTTTTCTTAATTTGTACCTGCTCTGTCTGTACACGAGCACTATTAATTATAAATAATTGGAATGTTTTTAAAAACGTCGTCATATTTCCAAAATAATTGTCAGTATAATCTTGTGTTTATAAAAATACATACTACAAGTGGCTAAGAGGGAGAAGACGAAAACAACGCCAAACCACAGTATTATGTTAAAGATGGCAGGATAATTGTCCGTATAAGGTTTTGCGCGACCGGAAAATTCGAGCTGAAACAGAGAAATTTTTGTAACGAAGATATAAACACAATTTGAGAACCTACAAAAAAATTTCAATTCTGCAAATATCTTTCTCTGTAAAATTTGCTAAAATTATTAAATAGTACACTACATTTCTTAACACTTCGCGAACAAATACGATTAAAAAATCTAATGTATTTATAAAAATGCATAAAAAATACCAAGGCTGTGGCAATTAACATATGGAATGAAGAATCAAGAATTGGCAAACGAGATTTGCTTTCGATATTTGTTATTAACTAGCTGGTTAAATCTTCATGTTGATGAAAATTTTCCATCAAAAGTCTTATCATTTGTAGATTATTGCTAAAATGCACGCATGCAGTTGGAAAAGCTTTCATGCAAGATTATAATTTTGCACTCGAGAAGCACAAAAATTATTGACATCATTTATACGCAATAATATTTGTATAAAACGGTAATTAAACTTCTTGAACTTACATCCTTTCGCTTCTCAAGTACAGCACTTGCTATCTAAATTTTGCTATGTAATTAAAAATGTTTCTATAATTAAGCATCATTCACATAAGCAGTAATAATATAACAACAGCAAATTTTACAATCTTAATGCAAAAAAGATAATATAATACGATCTGTAAAGAATTGAACTTAATTAAATAAGTAGATATAAAAAAATTCTTTGTTAATATTATTTCGCTCTACTGGAGTACTTTGTAAACATTAATTATTCATCTTCCTAAAATTCAAGTGCTAATATTCTAACAAGGTCTGGCAGAATGAAAACAATTGAAGAGGCTAAGAAAAGAATTGGACAAGTCACATTTTGTTTGTTGTTGTAGTCAGTTTCTTTCATATTTTAATATTTATATATTTTATTATTTAATATACTTTATTCTTGAAATGATTCAAGTATTTAAATATTTTAACTCTGTTTGTAATTACATCTTAGATATGTCATTATGTTTTATTTCTTATTATTTTTTGTAAGCTTATTTTATACAAAATTTCTTTGATATAAAATTGCTTTCTTTATTGGTAATATTATACTATTAGTCACATTAAGTAAAAAAAACTGTTCATATATTATTTAATCATAGAATGGCAATATTGAAATTGAAATGAATATTGAAATTGACAAAGAAGACAGACTTATCCGATTCTCTCTTAGGCTCATCGATTGTGATGCATGTTAATATGTTTGCGATACCTGTCCTATTGTCTGTGTGTTAGTATTTATCTTATACTCCTGATTAACTTCGTCGGACTTTTCCGACGTCCCGCTATTATTCTGAACGCCCGTACGTTCAGTAGTGCTGACAGAGTTGGTTTCAATAGTACTAGTCATTTTATCTGTCCCCTCTTCGTCCTTTTTATTATTTTGCTCATCTTGCTCGTCGTCTTGCTATAATCAATGTTGTTCAATATCTGAGTAAAGTGATTAACACACGTCCAGTCTTGAAGACTCCAAAAATGCTAGAACTTGAAGCACTTAACTTTGCCAAGTACATCGATTTTTTTTTGACGTTGAATTTCAAATTTTATCGATATATAAGGATTAGAAATTTGTAGAAAATTGATTAAGACAAATATTCATATACCTATATCGAATTTCGAATTTTATCGAGTAACAATTTTAGTGACAATTAGTTAAAAAAGTTAGTTAGTGACAATTTCAAGATTATATTAATTTATATTAACTGTTTAAAATCATCAATGTCGAACTTCAAATTCAAATTTTATCGACTCCAAGGGTGTCAAGGACTCAAAGATTTAATATCTTGTAAGTACATCTTTGTAAGTACGAAACTTCGATTGTTTGAATTTCGGGAAAAGGTGGATATTGGACAAGTTTGTAAGTACGTTATTAGAGTAATTAAAGAGTAATTCGTCGTGTTCGCGGTATCCATGCAAAAAGCTACCTCTAAGTCGGAAGAAAAACACTCTCAATCAAGTAATAGTCCATGCAATGCGATTCGAACGGTACTTTGACGAAAAAATTATCGTTAATATTAATAAATTAATTGGCGCTCCCTTGGCACCACCAATGAATTTAACATTTTTAGTATTATAAACATTTTTAGTATTAAAATATCCCGTAAGAATTAAAAGCTGTATAAACAAAAGAGAACTCGTTTCAAGCGAACTAATATATCGCGATGCTAGATAGATCTGAATAATTGGAGCAAGATTGAAAAAAAAATTGCTCAAATTCATATTTCATAATTCTTTATACCTTTTTTTGTATTCCGACATAGAAAAGAAAATTTTAATTAATTAATATTGAGATAAAGAGTCTGACACTTACTTAAAAAATTGATTGCAAAATTCATATATCATTTATGTACTCAATTATATATTGTCGGAATTGTCAAACGGAAAAAGAACGATAAATAAGATATAAATATTATAAAATAATACTTTTTTGTATTTAATTTGATATTAGTAAATTTTAATAATTACATTATGTTCTTATATTTTACTAATACCTATTCCGTTACAATTTCGATAAGAAAATGACAGTGAAAAATTTCTTTCTCCAAGAAAATCTGAATCCTTAATATTCATAATTAAATATTTTACAAAATATTTAAAATAATCGAGTTTCAAATGAGTTTTAAATGAAGATATTTAACATAATTATATCGTATCTTGATCTATAATTATGATAAGTTATTTAATTCTATTTTGAAATATTATTTTTTATTCCCAAAAATTGTTAAATATTGCTTTTGAAATACAGTAGGCTGAAAAATAGTTATATAAATGTAAAATAGTAATAGATAACACTCACCGGAGCATCTCTACGTTTTCTCTCAAGACGGATAGAGCGGGCGTTTCTCACTTTGCTGGCATCGTTTGTGAAGGCCGCAATGACAACCTAGAACAGTTTGTCACGAATTTCACACTTACTTAGTTATTAATCAATAAAAATTTGCAAATAAAACCGCAACTGTATGAAAAGATAGTCGTATTATATGCATCGATGATTGCTAAGAACATTTTATAATATATACTATTCTTCTTTAAAAATAGATACTTATTTTTTTACAATAAGATTTATTTTTTATTTATTATTTCATAAGAGTATGTAGATAACATAATTATATAAATAAATATTATAAATATTTCATAAATTATTAATGTCCCACATGGTATATCACATATTATAAAAAAAGATCGCAATGAATTCTAAAAGAGCTAGAGAGGATTTTGTCGTCATTTCTAATAAATTCTGAGAAAACAGTTTGTAATACTTTGTGAAATCCACCTTGTATAGTGTGAAAATAAACTAAAGAATAATCAAATGATCAATACAAATTTTTACTTTTATTTGCAAATGAAATCAACAATGAATTCACATACCTTGCCGTCGTAAGTATTTACAAAAGCCTTGGAAACATGTTCCATTGCATCATTCAATAATGTGTATGATTCTTTAGCTGGTGCAGAATTGTTCCCATGCAGATCCAGAACAGGTCTGAGTGCTGATACCACCAACCAATAAACATCCGTGCCAGAATCATGCTTCTTTGCAGAGACTGCATTGTCGGCGATAGCATGGAGAAGTTGCATTTCCTCGACAAACCTGCGATCCTCCTCGACCTCTGAACTCAGCGACTTCAATTTCTCCATGTTAACAGGCTTGAGCTCACCAAGAGCTGATTGGCCAAGCTGTATGTTGGAAAAATTTTAATTATAATATCTAGCATCTTTAATGAAGTTTTATATCATTAAAACATGTTTTACATTTTATCAAGTTATTGTTTATTCATCAATAGTTGTTTATTTAATACTTACAGCATCAACTCCATCACTCAAATTAATCCTGACCAATGTATTATCATTGCTTCGCTCTTCTACTCTGCTTCTAATTGCTTGCCAAGTAGTCTCTTCCGCTTCATCAACAATCAGAGGATATGTAATTTTAGTTTTGTCTTTTAAGAATGGCAATTGTTCTATTCCATCTATAGGTATAGCAACTAATGCCTTGGGCATTGAAAATGGATCCCATATGGCAATGCTATGCTCTGACTCCCTCTGTAAGATTACAAATGCATTTTTTTTTTAGGAAATTAATCTTTAAATATATTGCCAAATGTATCAGAAATTATAGATTACATATTTACAACTTTGAAAGATTCAATTTTATCATTCAATCCATGTTATACAAATTTAAAGATTTGTTGTTCAAAACTCTCAAATATTCTTAAAATTTCGTGCAAGAATTTAGAGAGATCAAACATACCTGCTTTCCAGTATAACCAAGAGCTGCCGATAGGATCTCTTTAAGACTGCTTTGCTCAACCTCTCCATTTACAGTAAATTCCACGCTATCAGGTGAATGAAGAACGACAAATTCGCCACTGGCATGAACTAGAAAAACAAATATTAAAATAAATCTCAATCAAAATGCAAAAATAATACCAAGATGCAAAGACAAATATCTTGAGCAAGATCATTTTCATTAAAAAAAATATAAATCTTAGTTTCATTTACATTCAAAACATACAGAAAAATATTGATTTTGTTTTAAAATAAAATTAAGTTCAAGTATTATAAGAATTTTGTAAATTTTATTAAAAAATTGTTTGTTAGGAAATACATCGACTCTCACGATCAGAAATATAATTGCGAAAAACTCGAAACATTTTGAATATCCCAAAAAAATTGTTTGAAAATAAAGAGAAAATTACCTGCGGCAAAAATGGCGAAAAAGAGTGACAATTGTCGAAGCATTGTTGCACGAAAAAAATAATTAAATTCGAAAGACACTCCCTTGACGTCGATCAATTTCAGACGCGATCATGTGATTATGTCAGACAACATGTGACATCAAGAGTGAAAAGCCTGAGACATACTGAAAAGGTACAGGAAACAGGAACAGGGAATAGCAACAGGCAACAGATTTCGACCAATCAGAAGCTGTGAAGAATATCGGAGATATTTCTGATTAGTCGAAATCTGTTGCCTATTCCCTATTCCGTGTTCCTGTTGCCTGTGTTTTTATTGTGCATCCGGCTTAATATCTCGATTCGCGGGACAGAGCGACAACTTTTTTCTGCCAAATTCTTTCATTTTAGGCAAAAAGGAATCGAATTAGTGTAAATTTATTTAATTTTAAGGTGAGAGAGACCTAAGCTAAACTTTTATCATAAAATGCTTCGAAGTATTTTTGTAGCATCACGTGATCACTGCACCCTATGACGAAGAACGGTTTCTTCCATACCTTTGAATTTTTTCTACCTTCCTCGCCTAAACTAATATTTTAGATTTTCATCCCTCTATTCGTAAGTTCGCGGAGCAAACATTGCGCGATCAGCAAGTTTCTCGAATCTCCGCGTGATGGCGTCACGATCACAATGGGTGTAGCGAGGTCATCCATACCACGTGATTCGCGCTCGCGCACCTCGTGACTACTAATCGATCGTCTTGTTCTCCTGTCGTCTTGCCATCGCGGCATCGTGACTACTAGTTCCAGGAAAACGATAAGACGAATCTAGTGTCACTGTCGAAGCATCACGATTTTTTTTGTGTAGTCAATGTTCCTGGAGTAAAATCTATTCGTTTCTCTCCGCGGCGCGTTACTTCCAACCATTGAAGATGGGCTCGCTCTTCCGCAGCGAGGAGATGACTTTGTGTCAGCTGTTTCTCCAAAGCGAAGCGGCGTATGCTTGCGTCTCCGAACTTGGCGAGCTCGGTCTGGTACAATTTCGCGACGTGAGTGACGTGTTTTTCATAATTTTTTTGCGCCCTTCCTGATAGCCAGTAATAATTCTTTTGCTATTCCTAGATTGCCCGTTTAGACGTCAACTATTAGTTTTTTACGTCACTGTTTTTGATTTTAGTTAAATCCTGACGTCAACGCTTTCCAACGAAAATTTGTCAATGAGGTGCGTCGTTGTGACGAGATGGAGAGGAAGCTACGCTACCTGGAAAAGGAAATCAAGAAGGATGGTATCCCGATGTTGGATACTGGTGAGAATCCAGAAGCCCCACAGCCCCGTGAAATGATTGATCTGGAGGCTACCTTTGAAAAGCTAGAAAACGAGCTGCGGGAAGTAAATCAGAATGCTGAAGCGCTTAAGCGCAACTTCCTGGAGCTCACCGAGCTCAAGCATATCCTGCGAAAGACTCAGGTCTTCTTTGATGAGGTAAGTTACTGACAGTAATCAGGCAAATATTTTTTCTCAGTTTGATGATTCAGATAAGATCAGGTGAATTTACTTATAAATTGTCAAAGATAATTTCCAAGTTTATTGGAAAAAGGAATGACGAGAAATGATATGGAGTTATTGATGGGATTGTAAAAAGTGAATGTGTAAAGTATGTCTTTTAGGTTTTTTAATCTGTCATTTTTATATATAATTGGAATGTGAATATTGTTGGGAACAGGACTCTCGTAATGGGTTGTAAATATCAATAATGGTGTTATTATTTGTGAATGTCAAATCAATGAACATATAAGAATTTTTTCTCAGCAATATTTTACTATGAGCAACTATCAGCAACATTTTACGCGCAGTCATTTATTTGGCTTCAATAATATTTGTCACCAAACGAGGAGTGTTCCTGCTCTGTTTGTCGCGATTGAATTTTTCCAAGGAAGCAAAAACGTGAAACGTTCGTATTGCACAACTTGCAGTCTTGTTTGGCTTACATTTCCATAAATCAATTAAGCGTCGCGACTTTTCTTTCAGATTTAGAGAGTAGTTTTAACGCGCGCTTTAATGGAATGGATTATCTTAATGAGATTTCTTCGAAAAATCGCTTGTTTTTAGCATATAATATACGTCATTTAGATATACTACCCTCGAATCTTAAAAAAAAAACTTTGGAAGGCTTTTGCACGAAGAAATCTCATTGAAGCGACAATCTTGCAATGTTCTATGAAAAAGGAAAACTAAGTGATTGATCTAGCTGCACAACTGAGAGAAAGAGAGAGAGAGAAGGAGAAAGAGGAAGTTGGAGGAAAGAAGTATGAGAGAGAGAGAGAGAGAGAGAGAGAGAACGAGAGAA